TGTGTGTGTGTGTGTGTGTGTGTGTGTGTGTGTGTGTGTGTGTGTGTATGCATTTGTCTATAGTGTTAGCACTCTATCTTATAAATCAATAGACAGATTTTAATGAAACTCTGAAACTAATCATTGGATCTAGGTCTACACCTGATTAACCTTTGGACTATAGTGGCATTCGGGCTTAAAAAAGCTCCAACATGGTCCGGCCCTAGCCTGTAGGCATTTTTTCTGAGCCTGACCCGACTAATTAACTATAATTACAGGCCCAAACCTGAATAAAAACCCCAATTTTTTTTTTTTTTATTTGTTTTTCCTGCTTTTGTAAGCAAATCAGTTTGACATGATAGTTTTAAAAATGTAACGAAAGGAAGATATAAGATTTCTTTTTATTAACAAGTCAGGATATTAACATACAAAACAAATAGCCTAAAACAATCAACTCTTAAGACAGGCTATTACACAGATGAACAAAAATATTTTTAGAGCAAAATTATTTGGAAAAATATAGAACAAGGCTATTTTAGTTGATCACACTGCTCGCTTCAGCTTTTGTAGCTTTAGATGCTGCAACTTCCTTCACCGCAGATGACAGCAGGGTGCGGAGCGGGACGCACGCAGCCGATGATCCGGTTGTCCATCTGAAGTTTAACAAAACTTTTTTTTACCTTTTTCAACTGGCCGGTCCGCAGCTGCACACGACCGATGATCCAGTTGTCCACCCAAAGCTTAACACAACTTTTTTTTTTTTTTTTTTTACCTCCTTCAACTGGCCGATCAGATCTGAGCATGCACCTGAGCTGACACACCTCAGCAGGTTTCACTGTGCTGGCTTTGTTGAGTGAGTGCTTCCATTTTTAGCTTTTGTTTAAAACTTTGCAGCTCCATTATGTTGCTTGTTGTGGATCAATTGCAAATCCTAAGATGTGTGATAAAAGCAGGGTGGGCGGGGCCACATGTGCAGTTGTTGCGCAATGCGCCATCGCTACTCTATTTTCACACTCTAACTTCTGCACTCTATTTTATTTTTTACTTATCCTCATCATATACAGTAAACTTACTGCCTCCTCCTCAACAAGTAGATTAACACAATTTTATATTGTGCATTCTTATTTGGTTTTCTTTGTGCTGTATGATTCGTAAAACTGCCAACAAAAGCCCGAGACCGACCCGACCCGCCCATCAAGCACATAATTTTGGCCCGACCTGGCCTGAACTTCGGGTCGGGCTGGGGGCTCAGGCCAAAAATCGCATCTCTACTTTGGAGCTGACTCCATTCAGAGTGTCTACCACACACAACTGACCTCAGAAAACACAAAATGTCTATAAATTAGGCAATTTTACAAGTATTTAGCTAAAATTTGTCACGATAGTAGCTGAGCATCATTCTCAACAAAGACTACGAAGACTTCGTATTTTTGTTTAAAACTTGGACATTAACTTTATGTGTCAAATCAGTCTGTCAGCAAAATATCATGAGCCAGAGGACAGGTCTCAGCCAATCTTTACTGATGTTTATGTGGTAGTCACAGAGAATCATCTTGCGCTTCCATAATATTGCATGGAATTGAACATGTCTTTCACAAGGCCTGAGTGAAACGGTAAACTGTAACTCCATCCCTTCTCATCATAAAATTATATGAAGCAATGGACAATATGCATTTCTTCAAGGAATGCTAGGCCTTTTAATTGCATTACCACAAATTATTGTGTGAAATGTTTGAAGTTATTTATTGTGTTCCTAAAAACACTAAGCGTTCCTCTCTTTGCTCAGGAGGCTCCTCTTTGGGTCCAGGTTCTTCATCCGGTGTCTGTTCTCCTTCATGTGTCAGAGCAGGAGGTAAACACAACGTTAAAGATCTGTGAGGGTTCATGTTTGGAGTAGAGATCTTGAACCCTGTTAAAATCCTGTTTCTATTGTTGTTGACAGATATGGATCCTGTTCCTTGGTGCCATGTTTGGATTGTCCTCTTACGGACCAATCGCCTTATTTGGAGTGATAGCAAGTGAATGTGCTCCCTCTAACTTTTGTGGAACTTCTCATGCAGTTGTAGCTTTGATGGCTAACGGTGAGCAGCGGATTTACAGATCATCAGAAAAAGAGTTGATGCTGTTTGATGACTAACAGAGCTTTTTGTTCGTCACAGTCGGAGCTTTCATGGCAGGGCTGCCCTTCAGCACAGTTGCAAAGCAGCACAGCTGGGACATGGCCTTCTGGATGGCGGAGGTGATAATGGGCGTCACCACTGTAGCGTTCTTCCTCGTGCGGAACATGCGCACCAAAATGGGACGAATCACTGAGAAGACGGAATAATGCACAGAATTTAATTGAACTTGAACTGTAGTGAACAAACGAGTTGTTTAACAAACTAATGTCAAGGTGCATCAGAACTCGTTTGTTAATGCTCAGGGTGGCTTTAACTGAATCACTTTACTTTTTTTGGATGTTTTAGGAATTGGATATTCTCATTAAGAAGGAGCAATGAAAACAAAAACATTGTGTTTTTGTGGTAAAAGGATGAAGACATTTAAAAATTGTTAAGAATTATTCGTTATTAGTTAATAAAATAATACAAAAAGTGGCAAATAGAAACAAATTAATGACACGTTTTCTCGTCATTTCACACCAGAAGTTGTCGAAGGTGCAGCAGCAGCAACAAAAAATACATGAAAAAATAGAATCACCCCGTCAACATTTCTGTCAGGTTCTGGGGAAAATAGTTTTATATTTGTTCCCAGACAAACATCAGCTGTTGATTGAACATCATTTTCCACAGCAATAAAAAAAATCTCAGACAGCAGAAAGGTTCTGATCCAGTTCTTGGATTAGGGGCAACTTGCTCCATGCTGGATTGGCTCTGGTACAAAAACTGAAACACTTTTTCTTTTCAGACCTAATCTTAACAATTCTACACTGAACAGATTAATGAAAACCCAGTTTGTGGTTTGTAAAGTCTATATTTCATTTATAAAAATTTAAAACAGATTTCAGTCCTTTTGGCATCTTGACCACTTAAGGTCAGATCCAGTCTAGTAATCTCAGCAGTTAAGACCTTTAAACCTGGACTAGATTGTCCTCCAGTAAAGACAAACCATTCTGAAAAATGCATTGGATTTTTTTGTAATATGATTGCAGCTGGCTGAAGGTGAGCCTGAAGGCCTTGCTGAGGCCCTCTGGTGCCAAAATGCTGAAAAAACTAGTTATTAACTAGAGAAACTGCATTTCCTACAAAAATGCAGTGTGAATGCTTCTTGCAGAAGAAGTTGCTGAGAAACATCTGAAATTAGCTAAAAAGCATTGTGAAATGTAGCTGAAATGGAAGAACAAGCCTAAATTTGCAGAAAAAAGCAGAAAGAACACATTTGCTGAATTATGTTTAAATAAGTAGAAAAGAGCACAAAAATAGAAAATTAGCTATAAAAAAAGGATGAAATTTAAAAAAAAAAAAAAAGCTGAAAAGGCAGAAAGAAGCGAAATGAGCTAAAAAATAAATAAATAAAGTGGAATTAGCTGAAAAAGCTCAAATAAGCACCAAAAGAGCTAAAAAGCTGAAACTAACAAAAAAAAGCTGAAAGGAGCAAAACAAATTCAATTCAGTTTATTTATATAGCTCACAGTCACAACAGAAGTCATCTCGGGGCACTGAACAGAAACATTTGCATATATTAAATAATAATTTAACATTATTTATCTGAGGAGTAGACTGCTTTGAATTTAACTCCATCACAGAACTCTCATCTTGAGCAAGCATGAAGGCGACAGTGGAAAGGAAAAAACTCCCTCGTGAGAAAGAAACCTTTAGCAGAACCAGCCCAGGACAAGCGTCCATCTGCTTTGACCGGCTGAGTTTGGTAGGAATAGATACACAATGGCAGGTCAAGAATCACATGTTAAAATAGAAATAGTATCAAATGAAAACTATTCAAGTTTAACAAATCGTTTAAGAAATGAGGTCATTTTGTCCTCCAGTAGTCTAAGCCTATAGCAGCATAACAAGCTGACCCTAACTATAGGATTTATCAAAAAGGAAAGTCTTAAGCTCAGTCTTAAAACTGGACAATGTGTCAGCCTCATGGACAGAAACTGGAAGTTGGTTCCACAAGAGAGGAGCCTGATAACTGGTAGATCTTCGTCCCATTCTATTCTCTAATAGTAGCTAAAATAACAAACTAGCAAAAATAAGCTAAAGGGAGCATAACAAGCTGAAATTAGTATAAAGAAATTAATTAGGCTGAAAGTAGCAGAAATTACCTCAAAAAACTTGAATTTATCAGAAAACGGCAGAAATTAGCTTAAAAATTGCTAAAATAGTAGCTGAAAATGTAGAACAAGCTTAAATTTGCAGAAGAAAGCAGAAATAATGAGTTTGCCCAATTAGGCTGAAAGAAGCAGAAATGAGCACAAAAAGTAGAAATTATCTGAAAAAAGCTTAAAGTAAATGGTAAATTGACTGTACTAGCACCGTTCTATCTTACTGAGATACTCAAAGCTCTTTACAACAATCTGTCCTCATTCACCCATTCATACAGCACTCTATCTGTACGAAACACATCAGAGGCAATGAAAGTGTTGCTTACTAGAATATTTCACACACAATGTTTCCTTTTGTTGAGGGGGGGAGTGGGAGTTATGTCAGCTTTCCTAAACTAATGTCTTTTTACCTGAGGAACATTTGTTCCACAGCACCTAATACTTCCACAGCCACTATGGATATGCACAAGAGTTAGAATATTAAATTGTGACGTTATCGTCTCTAAAATCAAGTTTTTCATCCATAATGATGTCACTGATGGACAACTTCAACAGATCTGGGTCTTACTGCAAATGTAAAAAAATAAAAAAACGGATGAATATATATTTGTGTACCGTAGTTTACTTCCATTTGTTTGTCTGTCTGACTTTGTTATATAAAAAAATTTAGTTTGTGCCTGCAGCTTTATTTCTGCTCATTGGCATCAAATCTGTAATGTGTGTGTGTGTGTGTGTGGGGGGGGGGGCATACTGTGTGTGTGTGTGTGTGTGTGTGTGTGTGTGTGTGTGCACACCACCAATGTGCAAAGAAATGTACACCAATCTACAAAAAAAGCAACATTTAACGTAGATGTCCTTACTTTAATTCCACACATTTAAAGGATGTTTCTCACCGTTTGTGTAAATTCATCTGTTTTAAAGACATTTCAACTTTAACACACAGACTCAGATCTGCACTATTTGTGTTTATAGAGAAATTAAATAAAAAACAACATCACCACTAGACTTTTTTTACTTGTGTTCAACACTACTCATCTAAAGGATGTTTCTCACAAAGGTTGAGATAAGGTGTGGGGTTTTAAACATACTTGCAAACTTGTCGCGTTTTGTCAAAATTCACTGATTTCAAACTAAAATATGTCATTTACGTGAATCGTGTAGATC